CTTCTACAAAGGCATTTATCAAGCCAACTACAGACAGTGTGCAATTGACCTTCATGTACAGCATTGACACTGTCTCCCTTGGCTTGAACAAAGGCTTGAACTGGATGACCCATTATAAAACTTGTTTCCCTTACATTCAACACCCAACTGACACCAAAAGCTAAGTATGGGACATTTCCAGCCAACTCAATTTGCCTCATTAGCACTGGCACTACAATTGACAGGCACTTTCCCCCACTCCATTCTTTTCTGTCATAAATTGTGATGGTCCCCCCTTTTTTTATTCTACTCAAGCTCATCTGAGGAAGTGGGCTTTGCTCACAAAAACTCATGATACTATCACTATCTATCTCTATCTCTAGCTCTAGCTCTACCTCTCTTTGTAAATCCCTAAGGGTATGTCTACACGACAGCGCTATTTCGAATTAACTTATTTCGAATTAGTTAATTCGAAATAAGCTAATTCTAAATGATGCATCTAGACACAAAAACTAATTCAAAATAGCGTTTTTCTAATTCGAAATAGTGCGTCCACATTGAGTGGACCCTGAATCAAAGGTAAGGATGTCCGGAACCAGTGACAAAAGGGAATCAGGATCAGACTTAGTGTGTGTGGCTGCTGCCTCAGGCTAGCCGAGGGCTGTGCTTAAAGTGACCCAACCCCTCACCCCGGACACACGGTTCTCAGGTTTCTCTGCTTGTTGGTCTACCTCACTGAGGAACAGCAAAGCATTTGTGTCTCGGAGTGCTCTGCTTGCCCTCACTCGGGACACCACGGCACTCTGCAACATGGAACCAGACCTGCACCCAGGGACCTGCCCCCTGCATCTCGTGGACATGTTGCCAGCAGCCTGGCTGCACTGTCTGCAGGCTGCCATCCGGGAGCACCATCGAGGGGCTGTCAGGAGCCAGGGGGCCCTGCAGGAGAGCTTCCACCCTGGGGAGTGCTAACAGTCTCCCCGGTCTGCCCCACTGGGGGCTTGTGCCCCATTCCTCCCTCTCATCCTTCCACTTACCCTTCCCTAGCCCTCCCTTCCTGATGTCAAATAAAATACACGTATTTTCAAAAATATAACCTGTCTTTATTTAACACAACTGGGGAGGGGGAATGAAACTCTGGGGAGATGGGGGAAAGGAGGTGTGAGAGGGTGGGAGAGGTGAGGGGGAAAACTGGGAGGAGGCAGTTGGAAGGGGGAAGTAAGGGGAAGAAGGGGGAGGGGAAGCTCAGGGCTCAGGGGTGGGGGTCTCGCCAGGCCAAGTGCCTCCCAGCACAGCTGGGGAGGGGGCCTTGGTGTCCCCGGGAGGATGGGGAGGAGGGTGCGGAGGTTGAGGTGGGGGGTGTGAAGATTGAGGAGGAGGGTGTGAAGGTTGAGGAGGAAGAGGTGGGGGGGCAGGAGTGGGAGGAACAAAGAAATACGATGAGCTATTGGTAAAAAGAAAACCAGACAATAATTGCAATAAGATGGTGGGAAAAATTATGTTTCCTATTCAAATCTGAATGACGGTATTCAAAAGAGGAGTGCCAAACATTTGAATTTTTTTATTCCTAAAAATAAAAGTTTGCAAAAATAAAGTGGGATACCGCTGATTGAAACACACAGGACCAGACTCTGCCCAGCTACTCTCTGAGTGCAGGAGATGCAAATGCACTCTGAAGGGACATAGCAGCAGGTGTGCTCTCCGCTCCCCAGTGGAGATCTTTCTGATCTGAAGCTGTGCCATGTTGTCTAAATATTATACAGTCAAGTGTTTTTGATGCTGTTGCCACAGTCTTCTTGCTTTGTTGAGAACTCAGGTAATTACAGAGTAAGCATGGGGCATGAGATGGTGGTTAGCGTAGCAACCTTCCTTCTATGAGGTCCAATGCCCGAGTACTATCTTCTGGCTCAAGTGAAAAGAGGTGAGTGTTGTAGGAAGATTTGGAGTTTGATAATCTGTTTTAAACTTCCCCCCTGCCTCTGTGTAGAGAAGGCGTGTGAAGGGAGAGCGTCCTGCTGGGTCATGCCCCGGTGTCGGGAGCATGTCAGGTCGGAAAATGTCCCCGCCGGCCTTCTGTCCAAGAAAAACAGAAAATTTTCTGGTTTTTTTGTTGGTTTTTTTTTTTTTTTGCCAGACAGAAGACGCAATTACTGGGCAAAAACCGGACACCTGGCAACCCTAGGGGTTATAGATAAGCACCACTGAGGCCTGGAGGAAGCCAGAGCCCGTGCCTGTGAGCCCAAGTTGGCTGGCTATGGATGTGTAATTACAGTATAGACAGACCCATTGTGAAATGCACTCCTTGCCCTTGAAAAGTTTATTGTATACATAGACAAAGACTTGGAAAGGAATCAAAGGCACCATGAGCTCAAGCATAAACTTGGGAGAGTCACAGCTGGGATCAGAACCATCCCCTAGTCATTAACATGCTTCTTTAGCACAGCATGTTAAAAGGTGTAACAAGACATGGAGAATACATGCAACTCTGGTGTCCAGATGTTAAGTGCAAGACATGCATGATTTCATTATAAACAATACAGAATAACCATGTGGTCCTGGTGTACACCTGCCGCAGCTCCTTCACCTTCAGGTGCACCTGCTCCTGGGTGTGCCTGTGACCTTTCCTGGCCATGGTGGCCGCTATGCCAGCCACATTCCTCCACCTAGTGCAGAGATCATGGAAGTTGGGGTCCTCCACCCAAACCTCAATGAGGTCCATGATCTCCGCACTAGTCCATGTGGGTGCATGCCGTCTATGGCCCCTGGCTGGCCCGTGGGTGCTGGGGGACTGGGCAGGGGATGGCTGGCTTCCACTTTCTGACATCATGTGGCCACTGGCTGCCAGCCACATTCCTCCACCTAGTGCAGAGATCATGGAAGTTGGGGTCCTCCACCCAAACCTCAATGAGGTCCATGATCTCCGCACTAGTCCATGTGGGTGCATGCCGTCTATGGCCCCTGGCTGGCCCGTGGGTGCTGGGGGACTGGGCAGGGGATGGCTGGCTGCCACTGTCTGCCATCATGTGGCCACTGGCTGAGGGACTGTGGCTGCTGGCAGGCCTGGCTCTTGCATGTGCCAAGTGGCCAGAGTCTACCCCTTTAAAGGCCCTGGGTCTGGGGGAGAGGAGAGGAGTTTTCCTGGTTTGGCCCAGAGTGGCCACCAGGGGAAACTGGGAAGGGCTGGAGGCCCCCTAATTCGAAATAAGTGTCTACACTTCTAAATAAGTGTTATTCCTTATAGAATGAAGTTTACCAAATTCTAAATAAGGGCTCCACTATTTCGAATTAATTTTGAAATAGCGGTTTGTATGTGTAGACACAATTAAAGTTAATTTGAAATAACTGCTGTTATTTTGAATTAACTTTGTAGTGTAGACATACCCTAAGATTCCAGAGGACTACTCGGTGTTTTTAAAGTTACAGACTAACCTGGCTGCCCTTCTGGAATCATTATATTATGTATTCTAGTTGCATTCAACAATGGTACTCAATATCCACATTTTGGGTTGAATTATTTTGTAAGTGGTGATCAATAGTTGGTTTATACTCCAGTTTCCTGAAAGTCTGGACATAAAAAAGTCAAGTACTTTGCATGTACTTTGTAAAAAATGTACTTTGCTTACTGGGTCATTGTCCGTAAGATAGAGAAATTCAGCATGGTGGTTTCCGATCTCTTTAGTCATCTGAAGCTGTAGCTTTTGTTTGCCAAACTGATCCAGAACCCTCTTCACAGAGGATACGTCTAGACTACAGGCTTTTGTCAACAGAGGCTTTGTCGACAGATACTATCGACAAAGCTTGTGTTGACAAAGAGTGTTTAGACCACATCCAGTTCTGTCAACAAAGCAAGCCGCTTTGTCGACATGGGTATGTCTACACTACCCCGCTAGTTCGAACTAGTGGAACGAGGTGTACAGATAGTTCGGATTAGGAAGCCTAATCCGAACTATCTAGTCCGTGCCGCGTGTAGCCGCGCGGCACGGGGTTCGCACTAGCCGGCTTTTAAAAATGGCGGCGCCGGCTTTATGCTAATGAAGCCCGGGAAGTTCAAATCCCGGGCTTCATTAGCAAGTTCGGTATGCATACATTACCCCCCTAGTTTGAACTAGGGGGGTAGTGTAGACATACCCCATGAGAGTGTAGACGCAAAGGACAGTGTAGATGAAATAACGCCTTCTGTCGACAGAAAATGAGGTTTACCAGCGTCAACAAAACTGCTGAGTTCTGATGATGTTATGTCGATAGAATTCGGCGGTAGTGTACACACAGGTATAGTTTTGTCGACAAAAGTCCACGTTTGTCGACAAAACCCTGTAGTCTAGACATACACAATGGCTACGTCTACACTTGCATGATTTTCCAAAAATGCTTTTAATGGAAAAGTTTTCCGTTAAAAGCCTTTTTGGAAAAGCATGTCTAGATTGGCAGGATGCTTTTCCGCAAAAGCACTTTTTGCGGAAAAGCGTCCGTGGCCAATCTAGACGCGGTTTTCCGCAAAAAAGCCCCGATCACCATTTTCGTGATCAGGGCTTTTTTGCGGAAAACACTACAGTGCTGTCTACACTGGCCCTTTTGCGCAAAAGTCTTTCGGAAAAAGACTTTTGCCCGAACGGGAGCAGCATAGTATTTCCGGAAAAGCACTGACGATCTTACATGAGATCGTCAGTGCTTTTGCAGAAATTCAAGCGGCCAGTGTAGACAGCTGGCAAGTTTATCCGCAAAATCATCTGATTTTGCAGAAAAACTTGAGAGTTTAGACACAGCCAGAGTGACTAATGGAAAGCCAAGGGATGTCAGAAACCAGCACTAAATTCTGAATTAGGGAAAGGACAAGAGAAAAGATGTGTGGGCTGGGTGGCTGACAGGTGACACGGAAGAGCAGCAGAAAAAGTGAACCATAAAAGGGGAGAGCAGGGCTTGGTGACAGAGTAATAAGATGTGAGATATCAAGAAGTTCTTAAAATTTGCACTTCCCTTTCTCTATCTTGCCATACATGTTCAAAGTCAGTGGTCCCATGGGATCAGCTTCGGCAGATATATTTGACCACCCACTCACAGAGCTCTTTGGTATGGAATCCATAAATAATGGGGTTGAGCATTGGTGGGATGAGGAGATAAAGGTTGGATAATATGATGTTAATGTGGGGAGCAATGCCCTGACTAAACCGCCGTGACAAGTTGGAGATCAAGTTGGGGGTACAATATAACAACAAGGCGCAGAGGTGGGCAGTGCAGGTGTTGCGGGCTTTCTGGTGGGCTTCCCTGGAGGAGATTCTGAGGATAGCCCTGATGATCAGACTGTAGGACAGGGCAATGAGACTCAGGTCTAAACCTGTGATCAAAATCATTATCACCAAGCTGTGCATCCTGTTGACTGTGGTGTCCCCACAAGACAGGTTCACCACAGCTATGTTCTCACAGTACGTGTGGGGGATAATGTGGTTGTCACAGAAGGGAAGCCTGCTCAGGATCACGGGCAGAGGCAGAATGAAGAGAACACCTCTTACCAAACAGACCAGCCCTAGTATAGCTATTCGTGTATTGCTGAGGATGGTGAAATATCTCAGAGGGTTACATATGGCCACGTAGTGATCGAAGGCCATTGCCACAAGCACAGCTGACTGCATCACTGAAACTGAATGAAGGAAGAACATCTGGGTGAGGCAGCCCACCAGAGTAATATCTTTCAAATTGAACCAAAATATACAGAGGGCCTTAGGCATGACAGAGGAAGATGTGACGATGTCTGTGAGCGCCAGCATGCAGAGCAGCAGGTACATCGGCTTGTGCAAGCTCTGCTCTTTGGCGACAAGAAAGAGAAGCATGACATTTCCTAAGAAGCTGATAATGTAGCACAGAGAGAATGGGATGGAAATCCATAAGTGGGCAGCTTCCAGGCCAGGGATACCCGTTAGGATGAATGCTGAAGGGTCAGAGAAGGTGAAGTTTAAAGCTGCCATGAGGTGTCCAATACATCTATCGGTCTCAGAAATGCTCAAGGTACCTGTGAAGGGAAATAAGCACAGTGAGGAGGTTTACAAAATTTATAACAAATAAAATGGTAAATAATGTATGTTTATTAGCAGTCTAGAAAGGGGGTTGAACCACAAGGCAGCAATAGTCACAGATGGCACCAAATTATTTACTTAATATTCAAGTTCAGTGAGCACCTCAGAGGGAGCTAAGCAATCCAGCTGAATGGGAAGAGTGGTGGTGGATGAATTTCTATGTCAGTAACTGTTATGTATCTAATTATTTATGTATTTATGTATTTATTAGGGCATAAACTTTCAAGAACGGAAGATTTTACCCACCAAAGCTTATGCCCTCATAAATCTGTCAGTCTCTCTAGGTGCAACACTATTCCTCACTGGTTTTTTTTTAGATACAGACTAACATGGATACAGCTCTGAGAAGGTCCAGAGATGAGCCACAAAAATGGTTAAAGTTCTAGAAAACACGACCTATGAGGGAAGACTGAAAGTACTGGGCTTGTTTAGTTTGAAAAAGAGAAAACTGGGAGGGGACATGATAGCAGCTTTCAAGTTCCTAAAAGGGTGTTTGTTACAAGAAGGAGGGACATTTTTCTCCTTAACCTCTGAGGATAGAAGAAGCAATGGACTTAAATTACAGCAAGGGAGGTTTAGGTTGGACATTAGGAAAAACTTTCTAACTGTCAGGATGGTTAAACACTGGAATAAATTGCCTTGGGGGTTGTGGAATCTCCATCTCTGGAGATATTTAAGAGCAGGTTGGATAGACATCTATCAGGGATGACCCAGATGGTGCTTGGTCCTACCGTGAGGGCAGGGGACTGACTTAATAACCTCTGGAGATCCCTTCCATTCTAGTATTCCATGTTTCTACGATTCTGAGATTTTGCAAGGTGAATGTCCTTTGGATGGAAAACTTGCAATCCTCAGGCACCTTTTAAGATTCTATTTTAACTGTATGAACTTAGGACAGGCACAGGGGCCTTATGGTGCACAGCGTTGTAAAACCCTGCTCAGACAGATATTAAGCTCTACATTGGGGTCCAGGAGGAGGGGATTGGGAATTCATCCACAAAATACAGTGCCATGTGATCAGTCAGTCAATGTTTCATAATCCAATGTATTGCTCTATATTGAACTGAGCACCCTTCTCAGAAGATGGAAATGGAGATTCCACAACCCCTTATGGCAATTTATTCCGGTGTTTAACCACCCTGACAGTTAGAAAGTTTTTCCTAATGTCCAACCTAAACCACCCTTGCTGCAATTTAAGTCCACTGCTTCTTGTCTGATCCTCAGAGGTTAAGGAGAAAAATGTTGTCCTCCTCCCTGTAACAAACACCCTTTTAGGAACTTGAAAGCTGCTTTCATGTCCCCTCTCAGTCTTCTCTTTTCCAAACTAAACAAGCCAAATTCTTTCAGTCTTCCCTCATAGCTCATGTTTTCTAGAACTTTAATGATATTGCAGAACTGGAGGAGATAAGAGAAGTGCCGTGAGGATAAACAAGGGTCCAGGGAAAATCTCATGGGGTATGTCTACACTACAAAGTTAATTCGAACTAACAGACGTTAGTTTGAATTAACTTTGATAGGTGCTACACACGCGAACCGCTAGTTAAAACTTAATTTGAACTAGTGGAGCGCTTAATTCGAACTAGGTAAACCTCATTCCACGAGGACTAATGCCTAGTTCGAATTAACTAGTTCGAATTAAGGGCTGTGTAGCCACTTAATTCGAACTAGTGGGAGGCTAGCCCTCCCCAGCTTTCCCTGGTGGCCACCCTGGGCACCACCAGGGAAACTCTTCTGCCCCCCTCCCGGCCCCGGAGCCCTTAAAGGGGCACGGGCTGGCTACGGTGCCCATGCCAGGTGCAAGCCTGCCAGCACCCAGCCAGCAGACCCTGCACCTGGCACA